AACCCATCTCGTCTAGCCCGAAAATCTCATAAAAAATATTCGATGGAATATAAATTAAAAATATGTATTTCATCAGCGGAGATTTGGCAACGTTCGAATGTTGATACGCCGTTTTTCCTTAGCGCGACAGCATTATCCTCGCTGGTCGCAGACGGCCAGGGGCCCACGGCGCGTGCCTCCGCTAACTTTTCGATTGGACCGTTCGTGAGAGCCCCCCCCCCCCCCCCCCCCCCATCGTCCTTCCGGGGGGCAGTTATTTGACCGCTCGGGCGCGTTTCTTCCCGGCGGACCACTAGACAAAACTCGAATTAAGGACTGCATTCATCGTCGCCCTGTAAATCTCCCGAACATAAAGGATGCTTGATGTTTTTGGGCTACAGCAGTCTTGAGCTTTTGAATCGCTGACAAGGAAATAAGAAATCTATCAAGGGCTCTTTGAGCCGGACGCAAGCGTGCTCCGATTTTCTTCGAATTTTGGAGCGTGCATGGAATGCTCCTGAAGTGCAAGAATGGGCTCACAGCGTGCCATCAATGAATTGAGGGTCACTTATCGGCGCGAATCTAACATGACTACATTGAAAAGTATTGAAAAATACTTAAATTAAGAGAGACAAATGGACTGCATTTTGCAATTTGGAACTGTAAATTCTGGCCCGGTTTAAAAACAACGTATGTGCCATTAGTTTCCCTATGCACATAAGTGTTTTTCAGATGAGCCAGAATTTATTGTTCCAAATTGCAAAATGCAGTCCAAATATAAGTGCAATAAAAAAGCTGATACTTTGTGAAATTTAAATAGGATCGGCGTGCAACTTGGACGATTCACGGAAATGAAATATTTTACTCGTGCAAAACTTGACTTTCAATCTATATTAAATGTATTGCATTTTGCAAAAAAAGAACCAAGAGCATTCCAATGTTGCTCAGATAGTGCAACCTTTTTACCTTGCAAATATGAACTGATCATCTGAACAAGTTTTATCCTTACTGTTAATAACCTGTAAATTTAAGACGAAAATTACCTTCGTAAATTTAATTTTTCACAGGATTTCAGTAACTTTATTGTAACGAATGTAAGTTGTAGAAACATCAGAATGCTCTTGGCTCCTTTTAGCAAAATGCAATCCAGATATCACTGGTTGTACTCGAAAAGCCATGCTTTTCCCGAGATCAAGTACAGTTTTCTTTGTAGATACACGCATACAAGTATTGGATCGTATTCGATAGTGGTTCGATGTATCGATTGGTTCAAACGATAGAACATAACTGTAAACAATTTGTTTTTTTATTTAAGTAGAAAAAGCTGGAAATAAGAACATTCCTAACAATCTCGCTTTTCATCGTCATCCTATACTCGTAAGAATAAAAAATCTACCTATCACAAGAAACCCGTTCCCTCAGATTACTCAATTGACTCAAGACTAAGGTTAAAATGGGTATATTTTCTTTTCATTTTTGATTGATTTTAATCTGTGGAAAACTTGAATGGACTAGATTTCTTATTTTATCTACCCTAATAAAATTAATTCCGTTAATTTTATTTTATTATTGACTCATCGTCATAGCCTCAAGAGGCTATGACGAGTGGATCTGCAGAAACAGATTCTACTCGGCCTTAATCCCTGAAAATTTGAAAGCCGGAGCCTGGATGTCCCTATCACCCTGTTGTCTAAGGACATTAAATCTCTGCGCGTCTATAGTTGGCTGTAGACCTCTGAGAAGAGGTATAAGCCATTAAACCTGCAAAAAAAACTTTTGAGGCTATGTTTACGTGTTGAACCAATCCACATCGATACAATCTCGCCTTTTCGATGTATCGAATACTATCCGTTGAGATAGCAATCCAGAATGGAACAATTAACACGTACTCGAGTAGTCTCTTACGATTGACAAATCTCACAAATGATTAATTATTTCCATAGCATTGCTCGGCGACAACGTGAGACAGCACGGCCGGAAGCGTGGAAAAGCTCGCAGGTCAACAACACGGGCACGGCCCTCCGAAAGCGTCACATGTCAGCTGAGCTTTAATCCGTCAGCAGCTAAGTTTCGGCTCCGGGGCCCAACTGTCGCCAGTCTTTCGTAAGGGCGTAAAACAATGTCCACGTGAACCCTGTTTTCCATATAAATTCATGCTTCCGGGGGCTCATGTGGAAAGCGAGATACGCCCTTACGCCAGGGGAGCGACGAACTGTCGCCCCTCGGCTGTTGGCCTAAAACAAAACATCCAATCAAGGCGCCGCGATCATACATCAAGCACCGAGGGACCGAGACGGTGCACTCACTGCCGCTGCAGGGACCAGGGACGCCCGATCCTTGATCCGAAGGACCAATTTTTCATTGCGTCTTGTCAAGTGTCCGACTGACCGGGCCCGTTGTCTCATGCACAAACAAAGGGTTGCGTGATGTACAATGTTGCCGATAGCACCTACAAGAATGGGCCTCCAGACGAAGTATGAATTGGACCGCATTTTGCAATTTGGACCTATAAATTCTGGCTCATCTGAAAAAACACGTATGTGCATAGGGAAACTAATGGCACATACGTTGTTTTTTAACCGGGCTGGAATTTATAGGTCCAAATTGCAAAACGCAGTCCAATTAGCGCACGCCGTGTTACACGTCGATGCCTAAAATGCGAAACCAAGTATCTCTAGGTGTTTCAAAATTTTCGCACCTGATTTATTTTTTTGAAAGCGAGACAAGTCAACTTTACAGTTTGAAATTTTACAGAAATTCCGGCTAACCGAGAAGAAAAATCAAGAGAGTTTTTAAGAAATTACGGTAGCGAAAAATGTTGCACTACCTGCCTTTCTCGTGAAAAAAAGCCCGTCTTTAAACCACAGAAACTGCCTTTTTCTCAAATCGTGGGACGCAAAACGGGTTTTCCCCAACAACGAGGATTAATTTTACATGCAGATTTTTCCTCAACATTTTTACGTAAAAGTTCAAATAAAAATCCAAAATTTGAAGATTTAGTCTTTACCCTGTTAGGGCAGGTTTGGTTTGATAGTTTAGTTTAGTTAGTTTACTTTGGTTAATTTAGTTCATTTAGTTTTTGCCCTGTTAGGGCAAAGGGCCCACTCTTTTAGAGTGAAACCTGTTACTGTTGATGGAATAGTAGTAGCCTAGTGATCCGATTAAAAAAATTGTTTCATGCCCAAAAAATTTAATTGTTGTCCTCTTGGTGAGGGATAAGGGGATGCCCGGTAAAATAATAGGGACAGGGGGTTTTTCAAAAATTGACGTAGCGTCAACTCTCTGAGTGGATACGGGAGGATGGGGATTTTGGCTGCTAGGTGTCGCAGAGCTCCAGAGAGCCCTGTGAGGAATGTGATATGTGAATGTGATTCGTCATGTGTAACGTTTCATCTTAAAGCGTTTTACTATACCGCTCGTGGTTTTTTTCTTAGGATAAGCTTTCCACACACGCTTTTCACACACACAAGCACGCACATGTGTTTTATTCAAAAGTATTAGTCTTTCGACCCAAGTCTGTCAGACTGCACGGAGAAAAAAAACTTCGCGGGCTTGAGACCTGATGATGTGGATCTCTGAAGCTTTCGGATCGTGCAGCCGTAAACTCGAGGCACAGCTGCCGAAGTGCGGGTCAGACATGGGTGCTGCGATTGACTCTGTAGGAGTTTTAACCGACCGAGGTACTTCAGGTGTGTGACCCGAACTTCGGCAGCTGGACCTCAAGTCTCCACGGGTTTAGTTAGAGATCCATACGACCCGAACTTCGGGTCCCATGTACCAAGTTTCTCTTAGTGTAGGGTCGCAAGGCTCGGATTTGGAAATTCTTAAGGGCTAGGCAACATCGATGATGCAGGCTAGCCGAAACCTGCAAGGACGTTGATTTCAATGAAATATGCAGATGCTGGACGCCTCCCTTCGCCCTACCCGCCGCTGCCGCCTCCCCCAATTAAGCTGAGTGCTCAATTAAAGCAGCACCGACGCGGGCCCGCGCCGGGTGACCGACTAGAGTTTCGGACAAGGCGACGGCGAATTTCGGCCGTGGTCGTCCGGAATAAGTAATTATCGCGGCGAAACAATACGCTGCACCGGTCACCGTCCTCCGAGTCGCACCGTTCAACAGATTGCTTACCCAGTAACGAACGGCGCCGCTAATGATCCTGAGATGCGGTAATGAGGACCGGCTCCCAAATTTCCCACTTCCGAGCCCCTTTGAACCGTGCTATGTGAGACCACTTATCTACACGGAGTCTGTCAGGCAGTTACGCTGTTCTTCAATTGGCCGGAACCGGCAGAAGTCGGGCGAAAACTTCACACCTAATCCGTAATTACCCGATAATCGCCACCCTGTTTCGCCCAATTACGGGTGTGTGTTTATCCGAACGGTGTTTATTTAGGGGATGCGGTTTTCCGGATGTCGAAGCCTCGATAGTCGCCCGAAACATGGAGGGGAATCGAGCGGGATAAAAATCGATGATTGCTGTTCCGAATTGCGTACTTCCGCGTTCTCATCGATCCTCATCCGGCATGTCAGGTGTTGTTACGTCAATCGAAAACTATCACAAATCTAATATCAAAAATCTAAGATTTCACAATTGGAGTTTTGTATGCTTTTTAAGTTGAAAAGTTGCACAATGACCACCTTTCGTCCACTTCCTGGATACAAAGTGCGATTTTTTACAATTATCAAGTGTTCCTTAGATGTTTTTTTCTTTAATGCAAATCATAAGACTTTACCATTTTAATCAAATTTTTTGCATAAAAAATGCATTTTTGTAATACGGTCTATTTCTTTCTCATGTGGACCGACTTATTTTCTCCTGAAAAACAGATAGCGCTTGCAAGGAACGCTAGGATTAGCGTAGGGCTTGCAAACTTCAGAATCCTGGAGGAGTCTATGGTGTTTGGATATACGCCGAAGAGCAAACTTTTCGAAAGTTGGTGAAATAAAAACACCACATACTAAACCAGACCACATACCACCCACCACCAACATACCAAATTGTACATATATTTGGCGTTTTCTTGGTCTCATACAATCACCACCTGATCATAAGCAAATCATGGTGTGAATAAAGTGTCGACGTCATCGGAGGGGACATCTGTCTCAGCATCATTATGTATTTCTTAATTGACTCGTTCTGTAATAATTCATGGTATTGTTAAAATATGTCTATGATACACAGACCTTTACAGGTATCTAATTGCCATCCACTTAATGACCGGCCAATCAGGGTCAGGTATCGCAATCTGGCCATCGATGCGGAACGTGGTGAGATCAAGTTCGGATAAGAGTTAGTAGCCCACTCTAGCGGCCATTCGCTGCGACATCTGACCGGTAAAAATCGTGGCGCTGACTGGAACGTTGATCAATTTACAAAGCTCTTCACGTGTACGAAGCATTTCGGTGCCGATCCCTTGGCTTTCGTACTCAGGTGCCACAGTCAGACCTTTACAGTTGATGAATGATGAGCATTCGTATTTAGTAAAAACATCGTCAGCGACCGCTCGAACAGCTGCACAAGTTTCATAAATAATTTGTCTTGGTCTAGAATACGTGTCAATCTGCAAGAAAAAACAAATTTATGTGCATGCCACGAGGGATATCCGAAAAGCAAGTTCTTAAAAAAAAACGGTGATAGGACGTAAGGTCCAAAAAAAAGATCCAAAAATAAAAACGTCCAAACGTAAAAGTCCAACAAAATAAAAAGGCCAAAACCAATAAATGTCCAACTAAGTAATAAGTCCAATAAATTTTTGTTAAAAATTAGTGAGCGTCTAAAGTAAATAGTAAGGTATTTAGCAAGTAAATATTTTTGACGCTCATTTTTTTAAATTTTTTATTGGACTTTTTACCTAGTGGGACATTCAGGGCCGGATTTACTTACATATGCCACCCATGGGCCGCCTGTATTTTGCCGCCTCCTTCTCATTCGTTTTGAAACATCAATAAAAATCATCAAGTGAACGTGCCAGCGGGGGTAGGGTGCATAAGACGCGTTTACTCGTGTTGAAAACTTTTTTGGGCCTGTCAACACTACTAGCAAAAATTCATCGAACTTTGCGCGACCGTTAAGTTTCGTAAACCTATCTCTGCGTGAAGAAGGCCTTCCATTCATAAGAAATGAACGAAAAAATTATGAAAGAACCAACATAAATGTGGTTTAATGATTTTAACTTCCGCCGGCGGTGCCGCGCCGCGCAGACCGCACCGTGTTTGGAGCAATGCGTGAAGCATTCCGACAGTTTTGTAGGCGCTACAAGTTTCACGCCGACGACCCACAGTGGGACGAAAAGGTGTCAAAACGGGACATTCGCCCATTAGACGATAATTTTTCGCCGATCTTCTGAAAACTTGACATTTTCGGTCTTTTTGGGAAAAGGAATCCAATATTATGTTCAGTATTTGGTTCATGGTGACAATCCCGCCAAAAAGTTATGTTGCCAAGTCTCTGTTTAAATCTACTTGATAAACAGATTGGCATGATTATGGTAGAGATTTAACGCGCGTGTCTTTTGCTTTTTTTCATTGAAAAAGAAAATGAATTCACTTATCCTGAAATTGAGAAATGCTTTTATTAAGAAACAACACCCCCCCCCTACCGTCTTCTTACCTATCGCAAAAACCGCATCGATATTTGACTATAGGGGAATGAGTTCATCAATGGGCAGACATTAAAGTGAATCCGAAAATCATAATCGAATAGGTTGCTCCCAAATATTGTCATGCTTTGACACAGATGCTTTTTTCCCGTTTTTTTTTCAAGGACTTTTCTTCTTCCCTTTTGAGCGCCATTTTCTAAAATCCTGATTATACGGAATATGCAACAGACACTCAAAAGCTCTAAATCTTAAGATGTCAAGGCAAAATTCCATACTTTAGAAACTCCGAGTTTCTTAGGGGTCTTTTCTGCACTTCTGAGATATCGTTCATAAGAATGAGGATTTATTGCCACTCAATATATTGCAAATTTTTCCATCGAATATGCTGGAATACAAATCATGGGATACTGTCAAACTGTCGCTACATTGGTTGAAATTATATTTTCAATCTCAGCCTCGATTCTAAGGACCGTTTCCATCACGACATCATTCGATTCTTTGCATATTCAAAATAAAAAATTGCTCTACAAAAAAACACGACAGCAATCAGTTTCCTAGATATCAGATAAGCATTGCAGCAGGCTGATAAGCAACGCGGCGGCGCGGCGGCTCGGCGGCCAGCAACGCAGCCCGTTGCGCTCAACCTCAACCGTCAATTGGCCTGAGAAAGCGCTCGATTTTAAGCGAACCGCGCTCATGTTTTCCCTTGTAACTTCCAAAGTCGGAAGAAGTCGGATGAAAACTAATATGATTCTGAAAGCTAAGGATACGTAGAATCTCGATATGCAAACCGTTTCTTGGACAAGTCTGGACATTTTTTTAAAACTCTAATTGAAGTTTGAATTTTAGATTTTTGACTTGTCGATTTTGAATTCACTCTCTGACCCCCAGGAAGTTAAAAGTAATCATCACCAATGACGTAAACGAATAGCCTATGTTTGTATTCCATTGTTATAACAAAAAATTGCATTTAAAATCATCTCGGAAGCTAGAGGAGCAACATTTGTATACGTGCGCTTTTACCTCTTTTTTCATCTTTCCGAAACACGCGTTTCTCTACGCCTGTCATTTGAATATTCCTCGATTAAATTGTTAAAATCTTCGTTATTCTGGAAGTTTAGACCCTCCAGGTAACTTCTAAACCTTTGGTTTTTGCTTTTAATGATTTTCATTTTTACCGTGAATGTCCCGTTTCTGTAATGGGCTCGTCCCAATGTGCGACCGCTGCTGAACGCACTGTGTTTGACGCAATGCTTGAAGTATTCACGCAGGCTTGTTGGCGCTATGCGTTTCACGCTGACCGCACTGTGTTTGGCGCAATGCGTGCAGTATTCATGCATTCTTGTAGGCGCTATCCGTTTCACGCTGACCGCAGTGACCGCACTGTGTTTGATGCAATGCGTGTGGTATTCGTGCAGTCTTGTAGGCGCTAATATGTGTTACATGCCGACCGCCGCGCCGAGGTCTTCTCCTTTTCATCTCAAGTCTTCGTCATCATTTCTCTCTCAGTCGCGCCGCGCCGTTCCTGGCCAAATTGCGTGTTTGGTCTCTTTCTTAACTCGATTAATTAAAGGTGCTGTCTTTTGTATCACTGAAAGACGACAAAATTAGAAATTACTATACTCTCAGGAAATGAGAGATTTTGTTGGTAATTGTTTTCTAAATCCGTTTTTTTATACCTACATTTAAAAAAATTGCAAAAGCCGCCATGGGCCGCGGCCCATATGGCCACCCCCTTAATCCGGCCCTGCGGACGTTTATTGATTTTGGCCTTTTTATTTTGTTGGACATTATACTTGGACGTTTTTACTTTTGAACATTTTTTTTTGACATTATGTCCCATCACCAAAAAAACCTCCAGATTGCATGATGATCTAAACTTATAGTTGAAACAAAAAAGCATGCCTTTACTCCACTTTTCGTAAATTTATCTTAATTTAATGTCATTATTTAGCGTAATTTCTGTCAAAAAATTTCCGAAGTTTTCCTGCATGCGAGGAAAAAGAGTGAACTTTTCAATGAAACCATTCGCAAAAATGTCCAGGTAAGATCACGAGTAGTGAAATGAATGTTTACAATTTTAAAATAAGTCACGTTTTGTGTCTAAAAATCGACGAATTCTTTGAAGTTGGTCTACTGGTTTTAAGGTACTGGTAACTTAAGTTTGAGCACTAAAAAAACCACATGCTCGAATTTCGCCAGAGAAGACATCTAAATATACATGAGATAGACTTCTAACCTTTGATTTTTCCTGGCCCTTTCTTACTGTAAATAATACGTTGCAGCTAATCATCGCGCCCTTTTCTCCATTTTCATCCTCCAAAAGAGCTGCCAAAGAAATTCCTTCCAACAAGTATTCCCTGTATATTGATTTGGCTTCCTCAATAAACTTCTTATTCAATATATGTAGAACCTGTCAAAAGCAAATCAGATATGCCAAATAATGGAGAGAATGTAAAATAATGTGAGGTGAAACAGTGAAAAATTGTGTATGCGAAAAGAAGAAAAAAGAGGAAAAAACCAGTTTTCAAAGCACTACTCTTTCTTAGAAAGCTTTTCTCAATTACATTGTTGTGCAGCGTGTTTGCAAATATTGACTCCTTTGCCACAGAAAGAGTCTGTTAGATTATAAATAACCATTAAAAGAAGAAGAGAAAGAGAAAAGGAAGAAGAGTATTATTTTTCCTCATCTTTGCACAGTATGTAAAAGTTACTGGCATTGGGAAGCACAGCAAAAAAGTGTCGTTTACGAAATTTACTGAAAATAACGATTGACATGCTTGCACCTGTCTACCGTTCCTGTGGACATCAGAGTCGAAATAAAGTCATTCTAACTGACCCACAGCTTTATTCAAGTTTTCTCTGGGCAAATAGTGACTGATCATGAAAGCGATAGTGTCATCGATCGACTGTTGATCAACGAGTTGAATGCGGTACTGGATAGGTGGACGCTCATTTAATGCCTTGTGCTTCACTCGTTTGAGGATGGTTGCACTTGACGTCATATTCAAAGATGAAATCGGTTTTTATATAGATACTTATTCAGCTGCTTACGCAACGAATCTTCTATAAGCGTCTCGATGCAAAGGACCTGAGATAAAACTACTACAAGCAATCCCTCTGAAGAGAGTTATTCAAGTCAGACGCTGAACAATTGCGATTCACACTTCAAACAAAATTCACATGACCATGGGTACAACAACTACTTTTAAACTGTTCAAGGACTCTTATAAAACTGTTAAAAGTTATGTTTTAGTAGACCCTTTGTGGATATTTTTAGAGTTTTGCCTAGAGAAGGTAAAATTTACGCAAAAGTCTCTTTTAATTAACTACTACTTTCATGGGTCTTTAAAAAAATAAGTAAATCAAAAACTACCGTGTAAACTTTGTTGAAAATATACTCGGAAAACCCTCCCGAGCACACTCTTAACTGAACATTGATTATTCCACTTCTAAAAAATTAGAGAAAACAATTTAATTTTCTATTTTCATCAGAGGGGAAAGTTATCTCAAGCATGAGTGCTCATTGATAATAATTCAAGAGGCTTCACTCAAGAGGAAAAATACACGGCATAATACCAAATTGTCATAAAGCTTGCAATAATATTTCATTTTGGCAATATTACTTCATATCTCGCACGTTTGATAACCCGGAGAACAGTTCTTTGAAGAAACTGTTGGTGGGGATAAATTGAGCTCAAATAAGTGGACGATTTACCTATACGCACAAATCCGCACGTACACGAAATCTGTAACTATAGACGTAGTTGAATACTACTAACTATAGACGCATTAATTTTATTTTATTTTTATTTTTTCACTTTTTTATTTTTATTTTTTCTTTTATTTTGTTTATTTTATATATTTATTTCCATTTATGTTATTTAATTTTTTTTCTTTTATTTTTTGTATTGTATCTATTTATTTTATTTTTTTTTATTATTCATTTATTTTTTCTTTATTTTTCAATATTCTAAAAGTCTTCATGATACCCAGTGGCCAACCTCTTCCTATAAAGTTACTTCAATAAATCTCAAAGCTTTTTTTCCGTCAGCTTGTCTCGTCCATCGCCAGATAATGCTTCGTGAAAAAGGGGAAAAACAGATCATACTCAAATACGTGATAAACGCGACACAAGACAGAATTTCCTGGAGAAAAGTAAAACTTAAAGAAACAAGAGCGTGCCTTTAATTTGCAGGTCACCTAAAAACGGTCTTCACAACCCCGGGTTGGATTTAATTCTATCCGGAGGACGAGTGTGAAACTTTCTTTTCTCGTAAAACACGGGATGAAACTCGGTCAATATTTACACCGTGCGTTACTCCCACCGGCGGGGTAACGTCGCGTTACGCCCCCACATTGCCATGCTCATGAAGAACCTTGTATAAGCATTCAAATGTTGTCAAATTTCATTCGATAACATAATTATGTTTTGAGAAAGCTGCAATTATTTTTTCCTGTGAGTTGCAGACACAAGACTAAATTTCGGGTAAAAATCCCTAATGAAGAACTTTCCATCCCATTAAGGGTCATTTCCTGACAATAAAGGGGAAAGAGGCTCGAAAATAGAAATTTCTGCCGCTTTGAGCATATCGATGTGCGGCCGTAAGAAATATATTTCCTTGATTTTTGATATTTTTAGTGTCCAAGATGTAAGGTTTCTCCATCGAAATTTGATGTACGAAAAAGTTTGACCGGTGTGCTTCAGCTAACGTGGCCTAAATTTCACGGTTCATCTCCAAAAATGACAATTTTTTGGTGTTATGTGTGGAGTGTGTGCGTAGATCCAAGTGCTACATTGAGGCAATTACTTTTATAAATATGTGTTTTTGTATGCCATTACTAGTCTCAGAACGATAAATTGTATTGTTTCATCGGTGATTTCGGTGCGCATTCGTACCTAAGTATTTCATCAAACACGGACACCTGCGTAATTTTTAGTAAGAAACCGTAAAATCAAGGGCAAACTTAGCTTTAAAAAAAAAAAAAGGGAAACTTTTCCTCATATTCAATTTTTGATGAGAATCTGAAAGATCGGACGCAAGACACAATCGAGAGACAATTTTCAGGGGGTACCTACATTGATCTTGGAGAGGGGAGGGGGGCATTAAAAAGCCCTTGACGTTGGACAAGGAAACGGGGACCCGTGATCACAAAAACTGACAGTAAAGTTGTCGATACCGTAGTATAGAGCATTCCTATGCGAGAACTTCAGAACTGAATGCTCGAAAAAATTAAACCAAACGGAAGGCATGTGGCAATTTAAAGCTCAATTTAAAAAAAAAAAAAAAAAGTTGTTCCAAGGACTCTAAGTGCTTAAAATTCGAACTTTCCATGCCCAGGGCACAAGATTAACACAATTTAATGCGCTTAACTTCACGTCCTCTACTGACACCCATATTCACTAAACCGCTCAAAACTCGTTCTCACGGAAACAAGAGGAAAGCATCTGGGAAAATCGTGGATTAGCGATACTGAATAATCGGTTTACGGAAAATTTTTCCTTTGAAAATGAAGGTCCTTTTCCCGTGGACGATCACAAAGTGAAATCATCAAGAAAATCTGGTTTTTACTAACAGAAATATGTCAACGTCTTGATGCTGGTACATCGGTTTCCTTTAACAAGGGGTAATGTTCCACGGCTGCGTACACAAAAGATTGACAGATCGTGTTGAAGTGAGTTATTATCCCACGTAAAGTGGACGACCCAGGCGTTTGAGACGGCAGCTCTGGATGCTAGTTGATTAAATTCTCATATTATTGAGTTTTGACTGTTACTGGGTCAAGACCCTTCTCGGAAGTAGCAATTTCGACTCCAAATAAAACTTCTTACTGGTGATCTACAGGTCAAACAGAGCAAGCTAAGAAGGAAATTCGCGATAACTGTGTTGCACTCCTTGCACAGTGATAGTTACGGTGAATTAATGCACCAAAGTGTACAGTTCAGTAGGAAAAAAAATATTTACCCCCCCCCCCCCCCCCCGGTCTGAGGAACGACAGCCCATCAAAAAAAGAAAAGAAAAAAACATTCGATATTGCAAAGCATTGTCCTTATCTTTTTACCCAAACAGGCCCCCCACATCCCATCTCGGGCACTGGTTCCAGTTTTAAGGTCCGGGCCCCAAGCGCGGAGGGGGGGGGGTCCGAGGGGCATCCCCCGGGAAATTTTAGAATTTATACGACTAATCGGACGCTTTTTGAAGCTTCCATAAAGAATTTTTCCATCAATTTCTGCGGAATAATTATGTTATTTTTCTACTTTCAGCACAAAATACTTGCGATTTGATGCATTCAAAACATCTGGAAAATTTTTATTTTTTTGGGGGGAGGGGGGCATGTGATACTATTTTTAGTTCTAAGAAGGCCAGGCTCCCTTGAACTCCCCCTTCGATTGTCGATGGCAAGGGAGGTGAGCCATGAGCCATTGAAGTCGAGGATGCCCAGACTGGAGACTCTTAGCATCTGACGACGGAAGAAAATGAAACGCAGTTACTATAAATATACCCCTATGTCCTGAAAATTTTGAAAATAGATAGAAATTTTCGAAGAAGTATACTTCTTTGAACATTAAAGAAGAATTCTACAGTGCCCCATTGTGTTTCTGAAAATCTATTCACCTTTTGCGAAATTTTAAGGGTAAATTTTTCACTTTTTCTTACGACACAAGGGTTGCATGTGAATTCGTGGTGACTTTTCGCGGGTAACACGGGCCCCCTCCGGGACCCGAGCCCCAGTACCAGGGACCCAGTATCCCCCACTTGTGGCGGGCCTGCCTTCATGTGCGCTGGGCTTCTCGATTTCCTTTGACATTTTTGCAGTGGTGAATGCATAGCTGAAGTGCGCTCCAGCTAGAATTGTATATAGCAAATGGGTAATTTTTATAGGAGGATTATAAATAAACAAGTAGTTAGAAATGAAAAAAAAATACTATGAACTATGCAAAACAATTATTCAGATATCGGAACTTGGCTGTTATGAAAACGCCCTCAAATGGGGCGTGATACCTCATGCACTCTGGAGAGTTCAAATAGTTGTATCATTGCGCCGTAAGAATGTGACGGCAGATTTAAATGGAGATAGCCTCCATGCACGCTGGGCTTGTCGATTTCCTCTGAAATTTTTGCAGTGGTGAATGCAAAGCTGAAGTGCGCTTCAGCTAGAATTGTATTTACAAATGAGTGGTTTTTCTACGAGGATTAAAAATAAACAAATGGCACGGAATATAAAAAAAGAATATGAACCATGCAAAACGATAATCCGGATATCGGAACTTGGCTGATTTGAAAACGCCTTCAAATGCGATGTGATACCTCACGCATTTCGGAGAGTTCAAATAGTTGCATCATTGCGCCTTAGAAATGCGACGGAAGATTACAATTGAAATAGCCTTTATGCACGCTGGCCTTTGCGATTTCCGTTAACATTTTTGCAGTCATGAATGCGCTTAAGTGCGCTTCAGCTAGAATTGTGTTTACAAATGGGTGGTTTTTCTACGAGGATTAAAAATAATCGAGTTGTACCTCATATAACAAAAGAATATGAACTATGCAAAACGATAATCCGGGTATCGGAACTAAGCTGTTTTGAAAACGCCTTCAAATGCGGCGTGATACCTCAAACATTCCGGAGTGTTCAAATAGTTGTATCATTGCGTCTTATGAATGTGACGGAAGATTTAAATGGAAATAGCCTTCATGAAGCCAGAAATATTACATGAATAGTTAGAATAGTTCAAATGGTCAGAGTTCAATCAGTCAATTTAGGAATCTACAATTCCTATATTTCATGTTATCATTATTAATCACTGATATATCATTCACTCCAAACAATGGACGTTTAAAACAAATCATTGTTGATGTTCCTTGATTTTAGGAAAGTTTATTTCTTTATTTCACTCTCCATAGTTGTACACAGTTTCTACCGCTTTCTGTAAAGTTTACTTCCACATGGGTGTATTGTTTTGGACTGATGAATTCAATCAATCTGCACTCCCATTTGCTATTCTATGAAAATATTTCCACCCTATTGTCCTCAGAAATATATACCTATTGAAAAATATCCAACAGAATATACGTGTCACCAAAAACTTACAATTTATCACTTAAGATCAAAATTTTACCTCTTTCCTGTCCGTGGTTACCCAAAAAAGTTGAACTCATGCCCAAATTTCTAAATTTAAAGTTCCGGTAACTCGATCTATTGTATCATACATCCTTTTTCTCCCATGATGCATTTTCCCATTATATTAATCAATGCTTGTCGGCAGCATTAAGATTTTTGACATTTACTTACAACTCAAAGTCAAATCATAATTCGACGGCGAAACTGCAATAACGCGCAACTCGTATGCACAGCTCATCCAGTCCTCCTGTCTATATTTATTTGTTAAATGTAAGAATAATCAACGAAGCTTCCATAAACTTACCTAATTTTTCTTCTCTGCGCAAAGAATATATTCTGTTAAAAGTTCAAGCAATAGTATTGTGGCTCCCTATCTCCTTTGATAAAATAAAACTGGAGAGGAGATTTAGAATCGCTGCAATGGCGATGCACGCATTTGCAGTTTCCCGAATTAATATGATTTCCGAAAAGTTGTTAGCGTGGAAAACAATGTGCAGACGTATTCTAGTCCGAGCTGACAGTGAACTGTAAGCGAACGAAACTACCTACGCACTGTGGATTGAGTCAAAGTAAGTTGGTGAACATGTGCTCTAGAGAATCATTGCACGGACCCCTTATTTTGAGGCAATGTTTTAATTTTGAATGATAAATTTATCATGAGAAAGTTAAACTTGAAATTTGTCTCACCGGAAAAGCATTTAATTTTGGTACACATATCGACGATAAAACTGCAAAAATGCGTATCTCGGTTGCTGTGTTTCAAAATCTTCTCTCATACTTTGTTTTTAAAAGGGGACCAAACGAACATTATGGCTTGAAATTTTCTTGGAATATTCATCAGACATCGAATAAAAATCACCGACATTTTTAAGAAATTACGTTTGATAGTTTTCCACGTAGGAAATAAAGTAGGTCGGCGACAACACAAACCGAGATACGCGTTTCTGCAGTTTCACCATCGATATGTGAAAAAATTATAGATAAAGATATTTTTCCCTAAAAAATTCCGTTATATTCCTCGGCAAGGATTTGGAGGAGACGAATGAAAAGTTCGTAATTTTATGAAAAATTTACTCAAATCCAATACACTGCGTTCTTTGTGCGTTTAGGAAAGAGTCTCTGCCATTTCCAGCTAAATATTGGATCCTCTGCCCACTGCAAAAGCAACGATTCTTTTTTTACCGTGAAAATATTTTTAGAAAAGCCCTCCTTACTTTCGCATGAAGCAATATCTTAATTTATGGATGCTCACATTTTTGTTCGTGGCGTATTATGGACAGCTTCGGCCCACAGCCCGCGGCCCACAGCTTATTTACTGCCGTGCTAAGGAAAAACGCCGTATGAACCTTAAGGCGTCGCCAAATTTCCTCTGATAAAATACGAATTTATTGGGGAAGTTGTTAATATTCTTTTTTAAATTTTTCAGACTATTTTGTCCGCAATTTTATCTAAAATATCTGAGAATTGCGAGGTAAAATATGCATAAATTTCGTTAAAAACACATGGTTTCTTCGAGGAAATTTGACAACTTTCGAATGTTCATACACCGTTTTCCCTTGGCACGGCACTTTACGTTTCACGGTTAGATGTGCGTAGGCATGGAGGTATCCAACGATTCTGCAGGCGTTACATCCCTCCACGCGCGGTGCATTCCTCTCGTAATTTCGTAAATATTCAGAGCACTTTGAGCGGACCCTGCTTCCCGGAACGCAGTTTATTGGGATCGGGTAAAAATTGAGTGGGTTTCGCTCCATGCCGGAAAATCTGCTGCGTCATTCCGTTGTCCTGATTTGATTTTTTCTCCGCCCTTTGAAAACGTTTTCCTTCGCGGAAATTAGGATGCGGGGCTCTTGTCCGCGCACTTGCCGCCGTCCCGTCTTGTTCCCACGGGACTTGGCCTTCGCACGGCCTTCATTCGAATTTCTTATTAGAACTTGGTAAATACCTCAGATTTTATATCAACATTGGTTCGCCGGGAAGGCGCTCCGTGTCTAACTTTCACTCTCTTGTGCGTGGGCCTATTTTCCACGCGACGACGACAAGTAATACCATGGTTCTGAGTAAAAACGACGTATGATAATTTCAATGTTACCACAAGCGATTCTCGCGAGTTTCCAGTATTGCCGTACTAAGGAAGAACGCCTTCAGACGCCATAGGCCTTGTCTCCACGAGCCGTTTCACGAGATTTGTCCCAGGGAAAAATCCCACTTACGAAGTTGGGAAAAATATTGAGATAATCAACATTTTTCCCAGTACCAAGTATGGTACTTGTACCCCTAGGACCCACTGAGAGAAGAGGAAGAAGTGAAAACGAATTGTGCGATATTTTATTCATTACTACATTGTTAATGTTTGTTTAGTTAAAATAATGTGTCTAATTGTCAATTGAGTGCAATTATTATTTTAATCCCGGTTAAACACTCGACTTTAACCAATTTATCTTCCCGCGGAAACTAGTCGCAGGACTGTATGAGCCCCGTCCCGTGGAGACGGTAACTGGGAAAAATCCCAGAAGTTTCATTCCTGCGATTCGAACTTGGGACAAATCCCATGAAAACGTCCCGTGGAGACAAGGCCATATTTCCTTGGATAAAACACAAATTTCCAGGGAATTTTCCGATGATTTTCCCTCCAACTTTTCTGAGAATCCCATTCGCAGCCAGATCTAAATTAACTGAAAATCCGAAGAGAAAATATTCCCAACTCTCCTCAAGAATGAGCATTTTATCGGAGGGAATCTGGCAACTCTCGAATGTTCATGCGACGTTTCGCCTTAGCGCGGTAGAGTAGTGGGCTGCCCCAATTTGAACACGAGTAAAACGGATCTCATTTTGTAATGAGGAACTACTACCTCAGGCTCATAAGAGATACAAAATTTATGCCACTAGTTCCCACCCCCTCCTATAGATACGTGCTTTTATTGCATGAATGTGCCAGGAAATAGTTGTTCCTTATTGCAAAATGTAATGCTAATAATCTACAATAGAGTATCTGGAGCGTGTTCTACGGGTCAGAATAAGACTTTTTACCATCAAAAAATTTTTTCCAAAAATGCTCTCCGTCGAAAGCACGGACCCCAAAATAGTAGGGAGACCATCAATTTTCTGGATTTTTACAACAGTTAAGGACCAAAATCCTCGCAAATTGGCTACCAATTCCCAAACTTTATCGCATTGAATTTATCCAAGGGTCTCAAAATTATCGAAATCTCAAGATGGATTGCAAGAAGTCTATTGTGGAGAAATCAAGTTCTTGTACCCTAATAAAAGATCCAAGACCGTCCTGGAACCTCTCTCTAACTTGAGATCTCAATATTTTTAAGACAATGTATGTGTTCAGCTCTACAAAGTAAGGAAAGTAGCCATTTTAAATAAGTTTTGGTTCAGAACTGCCACTAAAATTCGAAAAATACGACATTTTTCAACAGAATCTAAGGATCACATTTCCATCTGGGGACGGATTTTGGAGAGAGAAAAGTAAAGAAGGGGAATAGTCTGATTTTGACCCGGAGAACGCCATCCTGCAATTTTGCGGATAAACACGTGTATCAATCGCCGAAAAAAACTTTAAAACTTTTGATGTCTTTTAATGACTTTAAAGGCTTTTAAAATTGTTTTAAGCGTATTAAAAAATTACTTTAAAAGTTCTAAAATCTCTCGTATCATCATGACGTATCTCCTGAAAGATTCACTATCGTGTATGAGATGTTTTAGCTCTTCCCCGTTGTAAAGAAACGTCTCTAAAACATTTTATCGTTTTCAGAAGTATTTTTACAAAACATCTTCTAAGTGTCCTGCATCTTCCTTCACTCCAGGGGTAACTATATTCACAGTTTCCCGTGCTTTCGTCCTGAAAAAAAAATCGTATGAATCTTCAGGCGTTGCCAAATTTTCCTCGATCAAATACGAATCTCCTGAGAAAGTTGAATATCTTTATCTTCCAATTTTTCTCTCTTTTCTTATCTTTTTTTGTGGGATTTAATCTAAAATTGATGAAAATTTCAGGGAAAAATGTGCAAAACTTTCTTCAAAACTAGAGTTTTTAGCCAGGGAAATTTGGCAACATTCGAATGTTCTCACGGCAGCGTGTGGCAGGGCATTGTTTTGGCGAAGCAGATTTGGCAAGGAAGCCTCATCGCCATCGTGGAGATAGGAGCCGGTATTCGGATCCGCTATCTGCAGCGTGCATTTTCATCCCGAAACACCTCCCGCACCCCC